ATCCTCGCATATCACGAAGCATTGTGTCCATGTTCCCAACAATTTCCTTAGTGTGGATTTCCAGATCCTGAAGGATTTTTGGGTCCGGAAGGCCAGGAGTCATCGATCGTTTCGGACTTGATATTCTGGCACTTTCACGGATTCGCTCTTCAAGATCTTCGACGACAAACGACGTCTGTTTTTTGGGTCCCAGAAGAGGTTGAGATGTGGTGGGCGTGTCTGGACTCTCAGTTGAAGGCGTTGATGACATTCTGAAGGTGTTGGTTAGAATAAGCGAAAAATAAGGCTTCCATTCGGTCAGGACATTCAGCCGGCCCACCTAATTCGTACCTTTGCGGGTTAACATTCCAGAGTGTTTGCGTTCGTGAATCAAAAAATGGGTCGTAAAATAAAATGCAGCGTACGCAAACACTCTGGCATCTTGACGCGCAAATGCACATATCAGCTCAGCTCGCCGGCTAAATTTTTTGACCGAAATCATTTTCGGCGAAATGGAAGCTTTAAAGCGAAACTTCATATAAAAATAAAATGATACCGATTTAACGATTTCTGGAGAAAACAATCGAAATATGTGATAAACTAATAAAATTTCATTCACAGGCACAAACCGTAAAGATATGGAAAAGAAGGTAGTTATGAGATATGAAGTGAAAAAAATAGAGTGGAGCAGTATAGAATGAAATGCATGAGAAACGAATTGTTTGTTGGGAGTACCCGTTTTAATAGGAAAAAAACAAATAAAAAATTTGAATTGTGGCCTAGAAAACCAGAAAAAATTCTTTAGAAATAAATGAATTTAATTAATGCATCAAATTCATCTCATCGCCGAAATCTCGTCGTGGCGGTGACCGTCTCGCCGCTTCATATCCACTATTGTGCCATTGCGACGTGGAAAGGACGGCGGCGGCGTTGGGTACGGTAACATAGGATCGATGGATTCCACTTGCTTCATCTGGCCCTCCCAGTACTGGAGGTGTTCCAAGGGCATACAGAGAGAAGAAGACGTCAAGGAATCCACTTCTGATATTTGCGTCGATGCGTGTGTTGGTGCAGAGGGACCATAGTTTGTTGGCGGTTTCTTCCGTGTTGCAGGTGTTCTCGGAACCGAATTGGGTGCTGGAAATGGGATAATTAGTCCGGAATGGCCTGGAGAGGAAATTGAAATCGATTTGACGAATATGGACGCGGAATATGGACGTTCCTTGACGACTTCTTCTCTCTGTATGCCCTTGGAAAACCTCCAAAAAAAATTTCAACCAGTTGAAATTTTAGGAAATTTCCAATTTTCAAATTTGCCGAAATTCGGCGGAATATTCTTATTTTCAAAATTTCCAATTTCAAAATTTTTGGATTTTCAGAATTTCGGAATATTCCGATTTTTCCGAAATTTCAAAATTTCGGATTTTCCGATTTTTTCAATTTTCAAATTTTCGGAATTTTGAAATATTCTGATTTTCGGAATTTCGAAATATTCTGATTTTCGGAATTTCGAAACTTCGGAAAATTTTCTCCTGTAAAAATGGGCGGAGTCAGGGGGTGCGCGCGGTTTCTCATACAAGTATGAATCCGTGCGGCAAAACCATGAGCAGCTGGTGATATAGGCTCCGCCTCCAGACTCAGCCTTGCGCCTTTGGCATACTGTAGTCCAAACAGCTCAAATTTCGGATTTTTTAAAAGAAGGTTTGAAAAATCCGGTCGGAATTTCGGAATTCCCAATTCCATGTGGTTCAGAAAACTCACTTATTATAAGTTCCAAATGGCGGTGTCTCCGCCAATAATTTTGGAATCATCGCCCGAATCGATGGATCCGTTTCCGTCTCCACCAGATCCAACAGCCTCGAAAGATCCTCCATCCGCGTATCCAAGGCATTAGTGTCGTTGGAAATACGATCAACTATCAGTGTGATAGCACATCTTCTCATTTGAATACACAAATTTCGATTGGCAAAAGTCCACAGTAGTTCAGAATCCAGGGGAAGATATCCACACTTCTGAAGTTGATACAATCCACTTAAAGCGGCGATTCCAACGACACGTCCGTAAGATGGATTGACTGTATCCATGTTGAGAGCATATGTGAACTCCTTAATCATCACTCTGAACTCATTGCTCAGATTCTCGGGAAGATCCACTCGATAGGGTAGGTATTCTGATGGATAGATACTGGCAGCCAGTGAGTTGAAAAGTGATGCTCGATAGAAATCGTCAGAATATCGATTCGTTGAGTTATCGTTGAATTTGATGAGGTCAAGAAGGAATGGAAGAACGTCTTCATTACATTCTCCAGATGGTTTTCGAAGACGAGAGATTGCTTGGGGGATCGATTGCATTACGAAATATTGTTGAAGTTTTTCAGCCGTCACAACGAAATTATTAGAGCGAGGGATGTTGGTGACTGCTTTGGAGCCAAAGTTCTCGCTGGAAATGGATAGGATTATCATAGAGAAAGTGTTTTAAATTCAGAATTTCGTCGAATTGCAAGATCAAGATTAATTTCATTGATAAAGACTGACCGGAACATATTAATTAGGACAGGAGTTCCTACAGCTATCGCTTCGGATTTTCGATTTTGAACTGATGTAAGGACGAATGCGGCTCGTGATCGGATTCTGAAATGTTTGATTTTAAGATTAGGATCTGGGTTAATTGAGCTATTATTCTGATTTTGAAAAATCAAACCTACTACAGTAACCCAAAAATATATTTGCCATAAAACCTGTATTAGAAGGGCCGGCCCTTCTAATGTTTAAAGGTACCTCCAGAGCGCCCTTCTATTACAGGGACCCTCCAATTAAAGAGGGTTCTTCTTATTTTCCAGCCATTTTTTGAGCAAGTTTTTCAGCAGATTTTTGGGAAATTGTGGAATTTTCGGAATATTTTTCACTGAAGACGTACGGTAATTTTTAATTTTAAACAAAACATTATGAAGGGGGCCTTCCTATTACAGAGGGCCCTTCTATTAAAGGGACCCTTATAATACAGGTTTTACGGTATTATGACTAAAAAGACTCACCTATAAAAGAATCTCTCATTGGACACCGCATCCACGATAACACTTCTACTATGAGCCGACGGCAGTGCCTGAATCCTCTCCAACGCCTCCATCTGAGCAATCACATCTCGTTCGTACTTCAACATATACTCCCAATGAAACATCGGTTGACTAATCGTGATCTCTCGAATCAACAAATAATCATGATCGATTCGAAGCCAAAGAATTGGCGATTCCGCGTCCATATTCGTCAAATCGATTTCAATTTCCTCTCCAGTTAGAATTGGAACCTTCTTCTTTTTCTGTTTTCTTCCTTTCGAGTGACAAGAGATTTCCGCATGCGAAACGGCTCCATCAATTTGAATCGTATGGCTAAAAGCGCCATCAACCTCCTGGACGACTACAGAAAGTGGTCCAGTGTACTGCATTCTTCCATTGCCTTCTGAATCCTCCTGCTTGATTTCCATCTCTACCAAGTTTCGTTTTCGATTGAAATCGAACTTGATCGCAAACGAAGCATGACCTCCAACCCGTACCCATTGATCCAAAAACGATGGAATCTCTTTTCCAGTCACTGAATGAATGTTACGGAAGAAGGAGTCAGTGGTGATCAGGAGATGCTTCCATGCAGGTGGCAACAGCTTCTTTTCACTCATGTCCAATCCAACAGTCAGCAATCTATGGAGCACTCTCATGAAAGGCTCCATTCCTATTCTTTTCTGTATCATCCGAATCGTCAGAAACCCCTTTTTGAGCATAGCTTCCACATAAAGCGGACTTGCTGTGTACTCATGTCGAGGATCCACGTGGAGAGGCATCTTCTTCCCAATCAATTTCTCCGGAGACAAAACTATCTTTCCCCATTGATGCTCGAAATCACACACATCGTCCATATACCTCTTCATTTGCCATCGTGACTCAGCTGTACCCAGTTTGGTCTCTACGTAGATACTAGTCAAGAATCTTGCGATGGAATTGACAATCCACCAATTCCACCAGCTTCCCGGTGAAATCAAACATCCGAAGAATTGCTGAGCAATGGCGTGGATGAGTTTCTGGCGGACTTCCTGCACGACATCAATGATCTTTTTGTGATAGAGTAGTGTGGTGGGGACGATTAGAAGTGAAGAATAGCATTGGATTTCCTCTGGTCCCTGATCGACAAACACTACTTTCAGGGTGGGAAATGGGAATCGACACGAGAGTTTTTCCTCGAGAAACTCCACCATTTTATCCAGATACAACGTGGTGAAGTTGACAAAGTGGTCGAGGCCAGCCAAGGCAAAAGTATAAATCTGGAACTTGTAAGAGGTTAATTCAAGTCACCTGACACAAATCCTTACCGTCGGTTGCTCTGGATGAGGTTCCAATTTGAACTTTCCTATCGCCCATCCCATATTACAAGCATTCGTCGGCACGGTTTGACTGAATCGGTACAGTATCTTTCCATTCCATATTCTCTTCTCGGCTAGTTCTCCCGAACAAACTGGAACCAGGTCTGGATCCACTTCAAATGTTAACTCCCACAGTGCCAATTGATCCGGTTCGTCGAGACACACTGTCCATTCTCTAGTTCCTGACATATATGGGGTATGATAGGTGAACATATGAACATCCTCCTCTCGTCCACCAGTGAAATCCACGAATTGAATACCACGCGTCGGCTCTTGAACTACTGTATCGATGTGTAGCCGAACGGCTTTCTTGTGTTTCATCTTCTTTTTTAGATCTCTCGGCACCGCGATCTGCAGCTCATAGTCATTTTCAAAAAGATTCTCGCTGAGTCGAGGGTCGAGACTTGGGATATTTTTCGATTGCTCAGCTAATTGTGCCACATTTTCCAAATGCCGTCTTCGCACATATTCACAATCGATTCCGTTGATTGTGATTTTTTTTCCGGATCCTTCGGGCAGCTCATTTGGAAGTAAGATGCTCTTTCCAATGTGAAAATCTAGTTGTCGGAGAGAGGCTTCGCATGGCAAAATGACGAGTTCCGAACGAACATGAAAGCTTTTGGTGGCGAAGCAGATATTGGAGATTTCAACCTGAACAAAATAAAAATTGAGATTTTTGGGGTTTTTTTTCTGTTACAAAAAATCCCAACTACCGTAACCTAAAAAATGTTTATTTTCCGTATTTATTTTCTCGATTTTTCAGAGTTTTTAGTCAATTTGTTGTCACTTTTCAGGGTAAAATAACAGAAAAATCGGCAAAAATTAGTAGAAAATCGAGAAAACAAATTCTAAAAATAAAACTATTTTCAGGTTACCGTTGTCGTTGTGGGACCATCTTCTGCATTTTTTTTCTATTCACCTGCTGTGATAAAACGCGAAATTTCGATTTTTCCCTAATTCCTGGCACATAATACTTGCTAGACGCTTCTATTATTATTGGTGGTTGTGCTGCTGCTGCTGATGGTCCTGCTGACGCCGCCGCTGACGTCGACGGAACGTCATTACGTGGCTTTGGTGGGAACGGTATGGCGAATCCGTTGTTGTCGTCGCGACCGCCATCGTCCATACTCAGACTACAAACTTTGAGAAGTATTATTTGAGGAACAGAACAGAAGATAAATAGATTTAGAGAGATTGAGCAGGTCAGAGTACCTTTGAAAATTAAAAAAAAGTACAAGGAGTTAACGAAAACAAAGATTTATATAAAGCTATTTTTTAACAAAGTAAACACAAATCAACAAAACTAAAAAAGGAGAAAAAATCAATAAGAGCTGGCCTTGTGCTTCGGAATGAACTGAAATCCTTCGGGCGTTGGTCCCATCAGTCTCTTCGAAATCTCGATCCAATCGTCTGCCTTCTGGGAGGACAGGAGGGTCTCCAACTCGTTCCGACCTTGGTACCGAGGTGGACGATCGTTGATTCTTTGTGGAAGACGCTCCAGGATTCCGACGGGAATGTAACGGCATTGGAATGAGAGGAATTCGAGGAGGAAACGACGCGTTCGTTCCACACCGGCGTCGTCGGATCCCCAGTGATCGAGACCGTAGGAAGTGAATCTAGAAGAGAAAAGATATCGATTTTTTGGGTTTTTCTTGACATGAAACCTTTATAAGGGGTATGTGAAGAGACAAATAAGGTAAGGTTGCCTTCTGGGAAGGACTCAGGTGGGCTGTCTTGATCTACATATATTGTATTCGTACTTCTTTTTTACTATCACTTTATTTTTGTACGAGAATTGGGTTTCGATAATATTTGTTTTTCTTTTTCAAAGTTTCAAAATTTGAGCTTTTGACTTCAAATTTTCAATTTTTCGTGGGTGGGCGGAGCCTAAGGTACGGTAGCAAAATCTCTGAAACTCTATTATTTTCATTGACTTTAAAAATCGCATGAAAACAATGATGTCATGATTTTTATGCGATTTTCGAAATTCTCGCTACCGGACCTAAGCTCCGCCAACTTATCGAATTATCGGTTTTTTTTAAACTCTGAATTTTCTTACTTTTTCAACAAATCAAACCGCTCGGTTGCCGTAATATCCCACGTCCTCCGCTCATCGATCTCTGTGAAAATCCAAGGTTTGATGAGTGCACCTCTTCCAATCATGATTCCATTGACATTCGGGTATTTCTCGAGCCTCTCGTAGTAATCTTCCCAACTCAAAACATCTCCACACACCCATAATGGGACCGGTGCTGCAGCCTCTGCTACTGGAATGGTGTAATCCCAATTTGCGAGTTTTGTATAGCGTTGCTCTTTGCTCCGCGGATGGAAAGTGATTAGATCTGGACAGTGCCATGGGTTCTTTTTCATGAATTCCACTGTCTCTGGAGCCTTGAGAATCCCCTCTTTCTGACCAGTTCGGATCTTTACTGTCATAGGAGTGTCTCCAAGTACACTTTTAGTCGCTGTCAGAACCTCATAAAGTTTGTTAGGGCGACTAGGCAAGGCACATCCTCCACCCTTCTGATTCACCACATCGATTGGGCATCCCATATTGATATCCACAAAATCGACATCGAAATTTTCTACTACAATCTGTGCGGCTTTGGCCATTGTGTCAGCGAAGCCACCAGCCAACTGAACTCCGAAAATCTTCTCTGATGGATGTCGCTTGAGAAGCGAGTATTCAGAAGCGGCACCAGATAAAATACTAGTAGCGAGAGCCATTTCGCCACAAGTGATATCCGCTCCATAGTCGACGCAGAGTCTTCGGAATGGAAGATTTCCAACAGTGGTCAGAGGGGCGAGATACTTCAGCCGATCTAGTTTCTTCATATCCATTTTTTTCGGTTTTTCCTGCCACATTGAACCAATAGTTTCGTTTTTGATAGCGTCCAGAGCATTTTGAGTCTTTTCAAATGGATAATCGTGCTTTCTCAGTGCCACCTGAATTTTCATCGAGTGACAGTTGGTAGTTGCCTCGTAGGGTTTCTCCGGCGTTTTCTCAGATTGTTTCCCGTTTTCATCGATATGAGCTGTTCCGAAACGGCAAGCGTAACTGAATGGGCATATGCCACGTGCGTCGTAGAGTGGACAATCTGAAGCGATATCAGCTGGTTTCTTCTCTAGGAATGCGCTGATATCGTGCTCGCAGTTGCATTTTTCACCGAATCTGAAGAAAAAAGGATTCGAATTTGTTTTTTTGGAAAGAAAACCTTACTTGCAAGCCACCGGTTGAATCACCGATGGGCACAAGCGAACAGCAGCCGCTCGGATTCTAGTCTCTGCGTGTTTCATGTCCTTTCTGGAACCCAAATTTATCGTTGGAATACTTTTGGTACTCAAAATAAAAACCTTCTAGTTTTGTTCATCCCGCGTCTCTCCCGCTTTGGTAACGCCTGCACTTCAGCTGGTAGCTCATGGTCCTCTTTCTGAATTTCGGATTTTCTTTTTTTTTAAATTTTGATTTAAAATTACCGGCAGAATGAATTCCTCTTTAATCGGAGCCACATTGACATCGCGGGAGTCTTGAGCCAGTTCTTCGGGGACGGTTTCTTCAACCATTTTTACCCCTGTTAATTAAATAAGACAAAAAATATATAAGAGCATGTGAGACATTAAAAAGTACAATTATAGGCATATAACTTGATTATAGGCTCGAAAAAACGAATATTTTTATAGAAATCTTTATTTAGCACATTTTAAATCCATCCGTTCTTTAAGTTGCTTTCCGTACCCGTCTTTTGTCATATAATTTCGTTCTCTATGGCAATTTCCACACTTTTCAGTGATCGATCCTCTTTGTTTGACTGATATCTCGGTTTTTTCGTACTGAAAATTGCATTTTATTGATGATTCATCATTTAAAAAACTCACATTTCCTATTAAAACTTCTCGACAATTTTTACAAAATTGCTGCTTTTGCTCTCGCTCCAAATGAACCATTTCGGTGTCCATTACCTGGCGACATAGCTTTGAAATATGTCGACTGGTTTTTGAAAATCCATCGTTGTTTTTGGAGCCTGAAACAAGGAAGTTCAATCAATAGAAAACATTTATAAACTCACCGAGGTTCGAAAGAAAAAGAGCGCATCGATGTAGGTGTTCTGCTCGCGCATATCCCAACTTGTTCTTCACATTTTTCTTTCCTTTGTTATCCTTTTTATCTCCTTGTTTTTTTCTTCCCATGTTTAGGGGGAATTTTTTTGAAAAATCCTTTTAAAAATCAACCGAAAATCTTGTAAAATTGAGACAACCGCCGTCGAATCTTTGCATTCGAGATGTCTGCGTCACCTCCTTTAGCACACTCTCTGCATAGTGCGCTAGGGCGCGCTTGCATTTTTCCTATATTTTGGGGTTTTCTGCCGACAAATTTGAATGCAGCTGTTGAAGAACACAATATTTTCTTTGAAGACAATATGAAAAACAAAGAAAATCAAATGAAATTACTGAAAATATATTGTTTCTTCGTTTTTCCTTCGAATCCCGATATTTTTATGAAGTTAAAACATACATTTAATGCTCAGGGGCTTCAGAAATGGAGATGAGAATTGACAAGGATCGTATCGGAGATTATATGGTCACAAATGCCAGGTATAATTTGAAGTTTAGAACTTTTTATCTGAAAACCTGTAAAATATAATTTCAGGCTGATAAAAGTGAAAGACACAGTGGTGAAAAGTGAGGAGGATAAAAATTTATTGATAAAGCAAATCGGAGAAAAGTGTGTGCCGAAGCAGTTTGTTCCAGTGCTGAAACGAGGTGAGTTTTTGGTTATCTTTAAACAAATGAAGAAAAAATTCCAGCACTAAAAGAAGAGGGATCACAAACAGAAGATGTCTCAAAATCAAAACGAAAATGTGTCGGAAAAAAGCCACCGGCCGAAATCCCAGTGTCGGAGCCAAAACCAACGCCTTCTCTAGACGACGTTTTATCTAATTTGCTGTCTAAAAAACCAGAAGCGACAAATCTGATAACTCAAGATGCAGCGAACACAATCGGCGGATGTACTCGTTTAATACTTCGAACAATTATCGAAAATGCAAAACGAACGGCTTCAAGGGAGAATCGGAAGCGAGTCGTGCCTTCAGACGTGGATTTGGCCTTCTCATTCACAGAAATGAACTACGATTTGACGTGCCCGCTTCTGAAACCGACGCCTTCTTCCGATCGATTGTATTGGGGTAGAAAATCGACTAAGCCAAGGAAAACTATCGACGCGGCGTCTTCTGAAATTGTTTCTCACGAGAGATTCTGCGACTCGATCATGATTAAGGATCACTGGCTAGTAGTAGACGGCGTTCAACCATGTGTTCCAGAGAATGTAATTCCATCGGAGGTCAAGAGGAAGTTCCAAGAACAGCAACAGGAAACGCAGAGATTGTATGGATACAGTGTTCCTGGAATCAAACGAGATCCACCGCCAGAGAAGAGAATGTCAACGCAGACATTTTCTATGGTAATTTATTTATTTATTTGGTATTCTGAAAATTGACATCTTCAGGAGCATCAAGTTCTCTACATCGAAGTTACAAAAATTCTGACGAACGGAAGCGCGCTGGAACGACAGAAAGTGCTGGAGACGATTGAAACTGACACTGGATTGCAGTTCTTGGCAGGAAGATTTGTGATTCTGATCGCTGAAGGCGTCCGGCTTCACATCGGTACACGAAACACACGTGGATTGGCGAATCTGATGAAATTGACGTGGAGTTTGATGAAGAATCCGAATATTCGACTAGAGAAATATGTAAGTGACTCCTGATATTATTCCGGTGGTCGTGGCCGAAGGTCCCACAACGAAAACTACCGTAACCGAGAATGATTTTCATTTTTCGGACTTTTTCCTCGTTATACGTGCATTTTCAGTCATTTTTTTCAATATAAAATAGGAAAAAAATAGCAGAAAACCGACAAAAATCAGCTAACAATAACATGTAATTAATTCTGAAAAAAAAATATTTAGGTTACGGTAGTTGTCGCTGTGGGACCTTTGGCCACTTCCACCGTTCCGATTTTCTTGTACATAAACATTCTTCTATTCCAGCTCTACGTCCTCGTCCCATCACTGATCTCCTGTGTCGTGAGCAAGAACATGGTCCCACTCGTGGATCCTTCCCGTGGTGCTCATGGATCTTCCAAATCCAAAACCGTGACAGCCGGAACACCAGAATTGACTTCAGAAGACCACGAAAGGATTATTAGAGACATGGAATTCGAATTTCGGTTGAGAGAAGCTGCTGGAAAACTGTTGGCCGAGCTTTCGAATCAATATGAGAGCCAGAATCTGAGCGTTCGAATTATTCAAATGTTGAGAAAAGTGCTGGCCGGACAGAAGGATCCGGTGGCGATTTACGGAGTGCTTTGCACGTTTTTCGCGTTTGGAAACTTGGTAAGAATTAGCTAAATTATCAAAATATCAAAATTCATAATTTCCAGACAATAAATACAGTAGTCCTTCCCAAAATGCACGACATATTCTGCTCTTTTCAAGACGCCCGATCCAACATTCCATCTGTGAAGCCGACGATGACGAAGCTGAAAAAATTGATAACAGAAACCGAAGCTCAGCGAATGGAAATCATTTTGAATAGGACCATCGAACTGATCATGGTATGGTTTTGATCCAAATGCAAAGGTCCCACAACGACAATTACAGTAACCTTCTTAGGTTACTGTAGTTGTCAATTTCAGACCGTTGGCCACGGCCACCAGCAGAAAAATAATCTCAGTTTTTTTAAACAATTTAAATCTTCCAGAAAATCATTTTCGAAAACGAGATCTTCAACGAGCGAAAGCTGGCGGACCGTGATGCCTATGTGACGTTGTACGCAGAATTTGGAGCTCTTTTTTATGAGTGAGTCAAGGAAGAAACCGAAGCCGTGGAAGAGAAACGTTCGTGGCCGTGGCCGAAGTTCCCACAACGACAATTACCGTAACCTAAAAATAATCTAATTTTCCGGATTTTTTATTATCGATTTTCAGGCGTTTTCAGACATTTCTTTCACGCTCAAAAATTAATTGACGAAAAGCGGTGAAAATTGAGGAAATTTATCCCGAAAACAAACATATTTTTAGGTAACGGTAGTTATCGTTGTGAGACCTTCGGCCAGGGCCGTTGGTGTTTCTCTTCCACAGCTCCAATTTTTGTACTAGAACAATCCTCATGATTTCCAATTTTTAGCTACGCCCTCAACAGTGAAATGGTCAACGAGAACACGGGTCATCTGAAAATCAACCGTCCCTCACTTCTTCTGAAACCCGACGCCTTCAAACTGGAAATGGAGAAATTGAAGGAAAGAAAACGTCCAACCGCTGGCACAACGTCATCCAGCTCGAATCCAGTGAACGATGTACCAGAGAATTTCCTGGACGATTCGAATAGACCCTGGGCAAAAGCAGCTACTCAGGTGGAGGCATTGGAACAGTCACCGTTGGATTCGCAGGAGAAAGAGACGTTTTTCCGGAAACCAAAACTATTTTTGGTTCGAAAAGAGAAGGCGGAGGATGGGCGAACCAAAGTAGCATCTTTCATTCGACCACTGGAATATGGACACATGCCAACACTTCCGTCTTCGAGAAATCATAAAATTTCTGATGCACCACTTCCCAACGTTCGAGAGAGCATCTTAAGTCAATCGATCTACGCATCCAGAACTTCTGAACCATTGGCGAAGAATTCAAAGGAATCTGATGAGATTATGAAACGATTCGTTGCTCGTGATGATGAGAAATCGGGTGCGATTATTTATGGAAGAAATTTGATGATGACGGAAAAGGGACGATCCACGATCGATGAAGAAATCAACAAGGCAGCTCATCAGCTATCTTCAGTGAGGATTCGGAATTCTGTAGCCGTGCATCGTCCAGCTGGGAAGAAGGAAGAAATGAGCAGAGGTCGATTTCTGAGCCGACCACAGACACTTATTAATTCTTGATTTTAATTGTTTTAAATCTATTTTTAGGCCTCAAATCATCCCATTCCACTCTTTCATTTCAACTCGATCTCCATATCGATCTCTCATTCGATATCTATAAACTCTGCCATTTTTAGCCCCAGATAATCATTTCATTGTTTCTTTTTTCCTTTAACACTGTCCGCTCCCCCCAAATATGAAAAATCTAACCTAGCTTCCCCTTTAAAGAAAAATTTCTAGGAAAAAAATATATAAGAAATGTGATATAAAACTTTATGGGCATTTTTTCTTTTTCTCTTTTCTATCTAGCTAATTGAATTTTGAGTGTTTCGAAAACCACACTCAGGCCGAGTCTTATCTTTTATTGACTTTTTTTTGGTAAATTCAAATTTTGAAATTAAATTTCAGATGGAAAGTCTTGAGGGTAAAAAATGCATTGGGTGTCAGAAACCGGCGAAGCTTCGGTGTCCGACATGCATCAAAATGTCGTTGCCAGACGCGTATTTTTGTGATCAGGTACTGAGAAATTATGCGAAATTCGATAAAAATCGAAGTTTTTTGTTGTGGTTACGGTAGATTTTCAAGGAACATTGCTGGAAGTGATGAGAGGTTTCGACACGACAAAAATTTGCTAAATTTTTCAACGATTTTCATGGATTTTTCGATGATTTTCAGAGTTTTTTAAAAATGATTTTAATAATTTTTGCTGGTTTTAGATTGAAAAAAAAAACGGTGAAAATTGTCGAAAAAAAAAAGAAACATCGGAAAATTAATAATGTTTCACCCGGAAAAATCGAATATTTCGCAATTTTCAGTCTTGCTTCAAAGCGTTCTGGCCGATTCACAAGATTGTGCACACCGACCCCACTGGCCCATACAATCCATGGCCGTGTTATTCAGTAGGCCTTTTATTTACAGCTCCCAGCTAACCCCGAAATTTTCAGTTCACCGGTCCGCTTCGTCCAGCCCGTGTCACCGATCGCCGCAGCGTTCCCGAGCACATTCCACGTCCCGACTACGCTCTTCACCCGAATGGAGTCTCCCTGGAGGAACGACAATCGAAAAGTGAAAGAATCATCAAAGTGTTGACTGATGAGGAGAAGGAGGGACTGAAAGTGGCGTGTCGATTGGGAAGAGAGTGCCTGAATGAGGCCGCCCGTGCTTGTGAACCAGGCGTCACCACAGATGAGTTGGATCGAGTAGTCCATGAGGCTGCAATTGAGCGAGACTGTTATCCAAGTCCATTGGGATATTACAAGTTCCCAAAGAGTTGCTGTACTTCGGTCAATGAAGTGATTTGTCACGGAATTCCAGATATGCGAAAGTTGGAGAATGGAGATTTGTGTAATGGTGGGGATTCAGAGTCCAAGGCTTTTTCTTAAAGGAGGACTCCGACCAAAAATTTGTATTGCATTAAAATGTTCAAAAAAGATGTCTATTTTCCCAATATTATAGCGAAAATATTCGAAAAAAATCCGAAATACCAGAAAAATGCCGTTAAAAGCGAAAAATTTTCAAAAAAAAGTTGCTAGGATGGACGAGGATTTGAATTCCCGCGCAGTGAGAAGCCTAGGCCACGGAGCCTGATAGCCGTTTTTTTCAAGTGGCCGACAGTGGTTTTTTAAGTTTTTTATCTGCCGGACATGAAAACCGAAAGAATCCGGAAAGTTTTCCATGTCAGAAAGGCGCTATGATGCCGTGGCCTAGGTTTCTCACTGCGCGGGAATTCAAATCATGTTTTTTTTCAACGCCGTTTTCGGGGATTTAGGATTTTCTTTGAACTTTTTCGCAATATTATTAGGAAAATACATATTTTTTGAAACATTTTAAGGCAATAAAAATTTTTGGTCGGAGCCCCCCTTTAAGCCATTTTTTTTCAGTGGATGTGACAGTCTACCACCGCGGCTTCCACGGCGACCTCAACGAGACATTCCTGGTCGGCGATAAAGTTGACGAAGAATCCCGAAAGCTGGTGCAGACCACTTTTGAGTGTCTTCAGCAAGCCATTGCCATCGGTAAATCCTCTTATCAGTGATATAAAATTATCATAAACCTTCTAGTGAAACCTGGCGTAAAGTTCCGCGAAATCGGAAACGTCATTCAGAAGCACGCCAATGCGAACGGATTCTCGGTAGTTAAAGGATACTGTGGACATGGAATTCATCGTCTCTTCCATACGGCACCAAATGTTCCACATTATGCTAGTGAGTTCAGGTTTGTCCGGATGTCCGCCAAGTTCGAATTTTTCAGAAAACAACGCCACTGGAGTGATGAAAGCTGGAAACTCGTTCACCATCGAGCCAATGATCAACGCCGGAACCTTTCACGATGACAAGTGGCCAGATGACTGGACCGCCGTCACGAGGGATGGGAGACGATCTGCTCAATTCGAACAAACCCTACTGGTCACCGACACCGGCTGTGAGATTCTCACCCAACGCACCGGTAACCGTCCGTGGTTTATGGACCAAATCGAGGAGAAGTATCATTGATTGGAGGAAACTCGAGAATGCTGACATAATTACAATTGCTATTATTATGATTATTATTATTTAGTTTCATTTAAAATTAGTAGTATCTCTATTTGACAATGAATACATCTTGTCTCCTTTTTTTAAACAATCAAAATGTTTAATTTTCCGACTTGGACTTGGAAAAATCGACGGAATAAAACATTTTAGGTTACTGTAGCCGTCGTTGTGGGACCAAATTTATGACCAAATTTGAATAAGACGACAATTAAGGTAATGCTTATCCTCGGAATCCCGTCATTTTGATATCAAAATTGACAAAAAAATCGATGAGATTCAAAAATTAATGTCTTCTGAATTCTGAATTCATTATGTCTTACGAAAGTAGTAAAGAATTTGTTTTATTTGTTTGAAAGTCACGGAGTATACTAAAAGAAAGTATAGCTTTATTTTTGTAATTGACAACTTTTTTTGTAGCTGACATGATTTTTGAGATATGCGCCTTTAAAGTTTGAAATGGGTCCGAGGAGATCTGAACTGTGAGTTTTTTTGTGTTTTCTCACATTGTATCGAAGGTTCTCGATGTTTAAACGGGGTTTCCCGGTGATGACCAATATCAGAAAAGTATAGTTTTGAAAGGAATAACGCAAAAACTCAAATAGAGCTGAAGGATTGTCATTTACAGTTTTCTCTCACGAAGATCTCTACAGTATGATCCCATATTTAAATATTAGTTTCCAGGTGTCCTGGCTATACTGCGGTGGGAGGAAGCTACGAGGTGACACGGAAAGATGGACTGAAATCGTCAATTTGTGTTTTTCAGTATGCGAGAAAATTCTATGTTATCATGTGTACTCGACTTTCCTAACAAGGGAGTTACTTGAGGGAGCAGGTTTAACTTTTTTTTTGAAAATTTGGGAGCAGATAGAACAGCTTATGAGGATTCCCAATCTGTTTAAAAAACCAGCAAAATGCTCACGTGAGCTGAGTTATGATCTAGAAAAGTTTCCCTATGATCAAGCAATTTCCCGTGAAATTTTTTTCACGGAATAGTGTATTTCTTTTAAAACAATAGATTTCAATCAGCAGTGTGGTAAAGTGGTAAAATGGCAAGTTCAGAAGAGGAAGGTTGCAGGTTCGATTCTCCCTTTCCCAAAAATTTTGCAAATTTTTTTTGTTTTATTTTAAGCTGCCATAACTGGCTCTGGAATAAAATTTACGCAATCTAAAAATGTTTTTCGGGAGTTTTTCGTTATGAATAGGCATTTTCCAGAATAAAAACAGACATTTAATTTTTGAAGAAATTCACAAATATGCTCATGGGTTCATCGAAGATTTTTCAAATTGTTTTCAATTTTTTTTGTTTATCATTCCGCCTGGAGCGACAGGACAAATCCAGCCTGTGGACATTGGCATATTCCGTCAATTCAAGAAGTTCATGAAGAACTTGACGGAATATGCGCAAAGAAAAGAGAAGGACTTTAAGCCACATCAACGAGATTCTATTATCAAAGTTTCTGAAGTTTCTGAAAACGTCCCTCATTTTTATATGCTTAGCCAAGCATATTGGCAGATGTGCTCTCCCATCTTCCAAGAATGGAGACAGTATGCCTGGTATTCTGGCGGTTATGTGGACAGTTGCGCTCCGAGATGTGATAGACCAATTCAATATTGCTTCGACCGGAAAGTTTATGGAAAGTGCCAATTATCTGGGTGCAAAACATTGTCAATGGTCAAATGCGCGTATTGTGCCAAGAAAATATGTTTCCAGCAGTTTGTCATCGAATGCCACCGATGTGTTTAGAATCCTCAACTGTTTTTTCAATAAAAAAAAACAAAAAAATTGAAAAATCTTCGATGAACCCATGAGCATATTTGTGAATTTCTTCAAAAATTAAATGTCTGATTTTATTCTGGAAAATGCCTATTCATAACGAGAAACTTCCGAAAAACATGTTTAGATTGCGTAAATTTTATTCCAGAGCCAGTTATGGCAGCTTAAAATAAAACAAAAAAAAATTTTGCAAAACTTTTGGGATCGGGAGAATCGAACCTACAACCTTCCTCCTCTGAACTTGCCATTTTACCACTTTACCACACTGCTGATCGAAGTCTATTGTTTTAAAAAGAAATACACTATTCCGTGAAAAAAATTTCACGAGAAATTGCTTAATCATAGGGAAACTTTTCTAGGTCATAACTCAGTTCACGTGAGCATTTTGCTGATTTTTTAACAGATTTGGAATCCTCATAAGCTTTTCTATCTGCTCCCAACATTTCAAAAAAAAGTTAAACCTGCTCCCTCAAGTAACTCCCTAGTAAGATGAATAAAGTTTATTGTCTGCACCTTTTTCTGCAACTTTTCAAAATTCTAAACATTAAACTATTCAAACAAAACTATAAAAAATCTTCCTCGAACGCCCATCATTCACATATAAAACTATAATTCGATTTACATTTTCTCTATAAAAGGAAACCATCTCCCCCGAAATTGTCAGTTTCATATTTTTCCATGAACTGCTTCCTTATTCTCTTGTTCTGTCTCCTTGGAGGAATATGGTGTGATCATCGTCTGAGTCCCGGAAGGGAACATGAACTTGAAGTCTTATTGCGGAACTAAACCATACCTACCGTTACCTACCGTTCCTACCAAACCGAGCGCGGAAGAACATCAAAGCTTGAAAGCTTCCTGCGGAACCAAATCAAACCTATCGAGAAGATTCGAGAGCCGCAGTGAGTAATGATTAAACTATCAATATCTTGCTGATTCTTTTAAGGCATCGCTGGTGGAAAACCAATTCAAGGCAATGAAGCGCCATGGGCTGCTAAAATACATTATCCTAAGATTTCGTGTTCTTCGACGATAATTTCATTAAGACACATTATGAGCGCCTCACATTGTCTTATGTCAAATATAACGAAATTTCATGACAGGTTCGATCGAATGAGGAGCGAATGCAGGTACGTCTTTTGATTACTAGCAAACATATCATTATATGGTTCGAAAACTATCGAACCTATTTAAAACTAATAGGAAGAGACAGATTTAATATCTTACAATTTTAGCGGGAATGATCTGATTATCTATCCAGAAAGCAGTGAACTTACAGTCAGAAACTCAAATGGAAAGCTACTTTCGGACAAAGTGTCTAAGGTAAGAGCTATTATATTAAAAACGACTTTTACAAAAAATTTTCAGATTATTATGATGAATTTCTGTTTGCACCCAAACGCTCGGTATGATGACATGATGATTTGGGAACTCAGCGAGAATATCCCATTTGATGATTACGCCTACCCCGCTTGTATTTCTAGTGGGTAACTTCGAATCAAAAGTTATCAATTATTTGGTTTCAGACAATCCCAACTTGCAAGCAATAAATACAGTAGTCAAAGCAACTGCATATGGCCATAATAGTTAGTTTTCTGAACTAATCTCCCTTGGATGTTGAGAATTGCAGATTGGGATACCAGAAACACGAACGGCCAAGGAACCAGGATGCTGAGAAGTGGATGTTTCCAGGTAAAATGATTTCCGAGGTAACCGAATCGGAAGGTCTTCAGATAACCGATTCGAAAGGTCGTCGCTATAATAAGTTATGGCTCATAGTCGATGGGAAACGTTGGGGAGTCCAAGCACGCCCGGTTAGAACTGGATATTTTTGAAGAAAGTCTCAAACATGTATTTTAGGGAGATAGTGGAGGAAGTCTAATGCATTACGTGAATGGTCAATTCTACGTTATCGCAGTGATTAGTCACGGGTGGGATACTTTTATGTTAGGAGCACCTTCGGTTCATGCTCACTATACCCGTATCTGCCAGCATACCGGAATTTGTTGAAGGCTTGATTGATTGTTTAACTCTAATAAAAAGTTGCATCCCAATCTCATGTAAAAACTGATACACAATCAAGAAAAAATTATTATTGTTATTATGATATTCCACTTATGTCATTAGTTCCAACACTTTAGACGGAAGTTGGAGAATGGATTTGTGCAAGTTGTGATCCAGAATCCAAAAATCTCCTCTGATCCTCACAACCCCATTTTCCCATGGATATGACAATCTCCCACCTTCTGGTCGGAGATAAATTTGAAGAAGAAACCCGAAAGCTGGTGCAGAACACTATTGAGTGTCTTCAACAGGCGATTGCCATCGGTAAATCCTCTTATCAGTGATATAAAATTATCATAAAAATTCTAGTGAAACCTGGCGTAAAGTTCCGCGAAATCGGAAACGTCATTCAGAAGCACGCCAATGCGAACGGATTCTCGGTAGTTAAAGGATACTGTGGACATGGGATTCATCGTCTCTTCCATATGGCACCAAATGTTCCACATTATGCTAGTGAGTTGCTTTTGTCGGTTTGTCCGGATGTCCCAAAAAATTTGAATTTTTCAGAAAACAACGCCACAGGAGTGATGAAAGCTGGAAACTCGTTCATCATCGAACCAATGATCAACGCCAGAACCTTTTACGAGGACAAGTGGCCAGATGACTGGACCGCAAGGGATTGAAAGCGATATGCTCCATTCTAACAAACCCTACTGGTCACCGATACGGGAGAATCCATAATAATGAGACAAACTTTATGCGGTTTTTTGATGGTCGTAAGTACTCTACACAATTTTGACACTTTTGAGAAGTTGATACTGAAAAGCAGAAATTACCGTAAACATTCTAAACGAAGACCACGCAAACCTCAAAAGCCATCGGCTTTCAACCTAGTTTTTTTTACTTATTGGTCGCTCAGTTCTTTACTTTTTTTTAACGGGTCACGTAAATCTATATTTTTATCTTCCAAGTTTTTCAAAAGTAGACAGAGTGACACTGGGACAGACAGACGCGTTTAGCGTTTTATATATAAGGAAGATTAGAAAGTTTTGTCAGTTGACATATTTTTGATATCTTTGATGAAATATGGGCTCCAAGTTGACGGTTTGGGCGGGCTTCTATGAGAGGAAATACGTTTTATTTCTTTCTAATTTATACTTTAAGATTTTTTTTATTACAAAGAAATCCAGTTCAAAAATTTGGATCATTCGATACAATGTATAAAAACAACCGAAAAAACTGACAGTTCAGGTACCATACGAAATGGGTCTGAGGAGACCGCCAAATTGGAGCCCATATATCTCATTTTCTGTAAGGCATATTCCAAAGTGGTTAATTTACAAAATGTTTATCAGGATTTACTAAGTATTCTGTCAGTTGACAACTTTTTGATATCTTTCACAGGAATCGAAATAATTCAGCTCAAAATTAACCATTCGAGTGGTCTTCTATTAGAGAAAGTACGGTAGTAAATACTCAAATAACGTTGAAGGATTGTTCTTTTTCTCTTACAAAGAACTCTACAAAAAAGTCCGCAACGCCGTAGGAAGATAAATAAAAGATCGAGATGATTTCATATTGGTATTAGTTTCAGGTGCCTGGACTATACTGCAGTGAGAGGAAGTTTGGAGGTGACACGGAAAGATGGACTGCAATCGTTCATTTGTGTCTTTCAAAATTCTAATAAAAAGTTGCATACCAATCTCATGTAAAAACTGATACACAATCAAGAAAAATTATTATTGTTATTATGATATTCCACTTATGTCATTAGTTCCAAAACTTTAGACGAACGTTGGAGAATAGGGGATCTCCTCTGATTCCCATAACCCCATTTTCACATTTATATGACAATCTCCCACCTTCTGGTCGGAGATAAAGTCGACGAAGAACCCCGAAAGCTGGTGCAGACTACTTTTGAGTGTCTTCAACAGGCGATTGCCTTCGGTAAATCCTCTTATCAAGATAAAAATTATCATAAACATTCTAGTGAAACCTGGCGTAAAGTTCCGCGAAATCGGAAACGCCATTCAGAAGCACGCCAATGCGAACGGATTCTCGGTAGTTAAAGGATACTGTGGACATGGGATTCATCGTCTCTTCCATATGGCACCAAATGCTCCACATTATGCTAGTGAGTTGCTTTTGTCGGTTTGTCCGGATGTCCCAAAAATTTGAATTTTTCAGAAAACAACGCCACAGGAGTGATGAAAGCTGGAAACTCGTTTACCATCGAACCAATGATCAACGCCGGAACCTTTAACGATGACAAGTGGCCAGATGACTGGACCGCCGTTACGAGGGATGGGAGAAGATCTGCTCAATTCGAACAAACCCTACTGGTCACCATCTATGGTTCATGAACCTTCGAAGGAGAAGTATCGTTGAATGCTGACATAATTATCTTTGCTATTATGATTATTCCGTTTTATGAAATGTCTCTCTTTGACAATAAAGACATTCTGGTTTTGAAACCCGTCCCTTGCTGCTTCATATAATTATGCACACAAGTAGGTGCAAATGAGCCTACCCCAACCTTTTCACGTAACCCCACTGATTTCTAATTCATGAACCTGTGTGCTTTCATAATGAGGAGAGAGTGGGAGGAAAGAAGAGAGTGCACAGAGAAAGTGACAAATGAGTTGTGCATGGTGGTCGCACAGGTGGAGGGAGAAGTGGAACATGTGAAAAATGTTAAAATGGAAGAAACAGTTTTAAAATTCAAATTTGGACGAAAACCAGTAATTTGATTAGCTTTTTGTCGCTGAAAATGGCAAAAAATGAGTGGTGGCGGGAATTTCGAAATATTTCAGGTACCGTAAAAACTGTAATACAAGAAGAGCACCCACACTGTTAACTTTGAACTCAATTATGTCGGTTACTGTAAGGGATATGCAAATGTGTAAACTGATAAAAAGTTTATTAAATTATGATAAACAATTTATAAGTTGACAAAATTTTTATATCTTTCACAGGAAATGAGATAAATTGGCTCAAAGTTAAAAGTTAAGGAGCCCTTCTAATACAGGTTTTACGGTATTTTGCTTTTTTGATGGAATGCAGGCACAGCTGAGTAGCGACTCAACAGTTCAATCTAAAGTTTTTGTGTCGAGACCACCACTGTAGTATTACTGTAGTATTACGGTCATTCGCATTGGAGCGCGATTTCAAGATGTTCCGAAAAAACTCCGTAAATTGGAATTTGAAATGTTGCAGGTTATTTTGAGCGTCGAGAAAGCCATCGGAAATGTTGGGAATTAGAAAAATCTCAAAACTTAAAAGCATAGGTCAAAATTTTTCTTTTTCTATATTCTTCACAACTGGGACCTTCGGAATTTCCTATACTTCAACTTCAGAATTTTCAACCTTCTCGAAGTTTCTTTTTTTTTTCTTCTTCCCGATCTGTGACACCTCTCCCTATTCTTAGCTAGTAGTCTGAATAACCTAGTCCTAGATATTCTATTGTCCTCTTCTTCTTCCTCTTCTCCAGAAACCTATACCCCTTCATTTCTATCCCCAAAGGTCTCCACCAACTTTTCGAACAAAAAGTGATGTGCACATATAGAGATTCCCACCTATCAACTGTACACATACACTCTCTCCTCCAGTCTCTAAAAGAGTCCATTTTAATGGGTCACTTGCCCTTTTTCGCGCGCGTATTGTTCGAAAAACGACGAAGCCCCGCCCACTTTTTGGGCTCGACATAATAGAATGAATGAATTGGTAGGGAGAGGAGTTGTGCAACACTTGTTCCCTTTTCCTTTTGACCCCCATTTCCGGATACGTTTTAAGGACCACTAGGAGACGACCAATTTTTGAGGGCGAGCAGAGCTTTGAAATTTTCGAATTTTGTTTGAAGTTTTGACAACTACTATTGCTCTGGTCTGATTTTAGTCCGCAAAAATTCGAGGGTGGGCGGAGCTTAAGTCCGGTGCCGAAATTATTGAAGGAGCAACTATTTTCCGTAATTAATTTCTGGCCTTTTTTGATAAAGATTTTCGAGAACTTTGATTTTTTTTTCCATTTTTTTTGTGATTTAACCGATTTTTGTTATTTACCGTAAAACTTGAAAAAAATGCCCTCTCCACACCGGCAACTTCAAGCTCAATTTTCTCAGCTCTTCTGAATGATAGCAAAAAATTGTCAATTGATAAATTATTTATCATAATATCACCAATATTTTCTTAATTGACAGGTTTGTGATATCTCTTATAGGAACCGAGATATTTAAGCTCAAACTTGGCAGTGTGGGGCTCTTCTGTTAGAGATTTTACGATAATCCTTGTTGAACTAATTTTGTCCCAAAAATCGGTGAAATCACTAAAGATAGCTAAAAAATACAGGATCCTTTAAATGTTCCTTTATCAATATGCTGCCGAACTTAAGCTCCGCCCACCCTCGAATTTGCGGCCGCAACATTTTTGCGATATTTTGCCAACTACAACCCACTCCCCACAATCATTATCCCCCATCAAAAAACCCCCATCTTTTTTATCGCTTGTTTTCATCTCTATTCCATGTCCATTTTTCTTCCGTCCGAGATTTTTCGGACTCCCAACTCTTTTTGCAACATTCTCTCTTTTGTTTTCGAAAAAAAGTTTTCGCGCCATTTTTTGTAGAGAACTTGTGTCCTTGGAAAATGACGAATATGAAAATGGAAAAGGGAAGGAGATGTGTAAACGTTTTGTCTCGCCACACTAAGCCTTTCCTTTTTTATATGAGAATTTCTAAAATTTTTAAATTCAATTTTTTCTTCAAAATTCATTAGTTCTGAGTCAGAACTTCTGAAACTTTTAATACTCAAAAAACGACTCTGAAACCCTTCGAAATCGAGAGAGGTTGCAGGTTTGAACCCCACCGGTGGAAACTTCAAAAACAATTTTTTTGGGATTTTTCAATTCAAAAATTGGAATTTTTGGGAATATTATTCTTCAAATCATCGTAAACACTTTAACGCCACACTGAATTTTCAAATTTGAGCCCATATATCTTGGTTCCTATAAGATATATAAAAAAAAGGTCAACTGACAAAATACTTATCATTCTATGAGTATCATTTTATCAGTTGACTACTTATTGATATCTCTTATAGGAGCCGAGATATATGGGCTCAAAGTTGACAGTGTGGGTGCTCTTCTTGTATTACAGTTTTTACGGTACCTGAAATAAAGTTGTTGAGAGTTTGTGTGCTACTCTTTTTACGGCATTATTTTACTTTCCTTGATTTTTATGTATACCAGCTCCTCAAAAGCTGTAAGTTTTTCAATCCATAAATCCTAATCTTTTTGATCTTCTCAATACCAAAATCGTACTAACACCCTCTTCTTCCCGTCCCATATCCACTAATCGAGTTGGATTTGAAAAGAATAGATGCCTCCTTTTTTCTCAGAATCCCATAAATCCGTCATGTTTCGACTCCGTCTCCAGGAAGAGATTTATTTATTTTTCTCGAGACTTCTTCTCCTTTTTTCTCAATTCCATAAATGGGTAGTCAAGGGATTACCAGACACCTCCCCTCATTTTCGTACTAATAAAGAAAACATTTGGATTCTTGAGTCAGGAGGAGGAGGAGGGGCAGCAGGTGAGACTAATCGCCTTATAATTACTGTATTGTTTTTCCTCGTGCAAGCATGTGCATGGACCAAATATGGACTATTGAATAGGTTTGTTTAGATTGAGAAAGGGTTTGTTAATCCGTAGGAGATATGTGATATCTGATGATTTAACCATATTGCTACTAAATTTGAAAAAGAGCTTTTTTCCGAAAGGGGGGGGGGCAGTTTTGTTTTATAACACTTTTTGGCTTGAAGCTTTGACGAAATGGTTAGAAGTTTTTAACTTTAAAAAATGATTTCCATTCCTTCTTTTATAAGTTCTGCAATTTTGGAACAATGTGAAAGTCTCTAAGTTTTATTTTCCCAAGCTCTCAAATGTTGATTTAGATTTTTAATTTCAAAATGTATAGTCTAAATTTTCTGAATCCTCATTATTAGATTTTCTAATTCCCAAACTGGAAAAAAGTGAAATTTCCATTCTCGACATATCCCTGTTCTATGTATTGTGTGCAGGTATTGCGCAACACTTGCTTTTTTTGGAATGTCTATGAGAATTTTCTGAAAAGATGGAAATTGGGAAGATCCTCAATTCCCAGTTCCCAGTTTTCTGGTCCAGCTATGTAGCTAAAATTTCAAAATATTATCGATAAATTGGATATTTGATAATAAAACTTTGCGTCACCCAGTGTTGGATTACAGTACCACAAAATAGTTTCGCTATTTTTTACCCAAACGCGCCAACGACACCCCAGCCGTTTCAAACAATTTATCTCAATTTTCTCTTCTTGAACCCGAACCCTCCGTTTCGCTCCTTCATTAATCTTATCCCCAAATGCTCTTTTCCTTTCAATTTGAGCACCCTCCACTTCTTTTAGAGAAATTTGAAGCAATCGGAAAGTGTAAGGACCCGACATGTCCTTAAAAGAAGAAGATATATTCGAAATTTCAATTAATCTATGGGGGATATAAAATGGGCGGAGCTTAAGGGAAAAGAACAAATACACATTGTCTACCAGGATTTCCATGTTCAGGTGGTGCCTTTTTGCCTAAAATAAACAGTGTCATTTCGTTAGAATGGTTTGCTTTTGTTGTACTATTTTATGGGAGGAGGAGCGGAATTACATAGGAATTGAAATTGGAGGAGGAGGAGATTGTTAATTGAATAACGCGACAAAAACATAGAGAGATCTCGTCTGTCTCCTTTAACGGAAAAGATGAGAGGAGGAGGTGAAGAAAATGAAGAACAGTCTCGGATTTCAATGATTTCCGCAGAATCTCGCTTTTTCTGCTTCTTCTTCTTCTTGTTGTTGTTCATTTTCTCACATTTTGTAGTTTTTATCTTTTTATTCTATTTTTTCTACATTTTTTAGATTCGAAACTTTGGGGATTCTCAGATTCCACAGTGCTTCTTCAATAGAAGCCCACCCAAACCGTCAACTTTGGGCTCAATTATTTCGGCTCTTCCGAAAGATATCAAAATTTTGTCATGTGATTAAATATTGGTGATATTGTGATACAATTTTTTTAGTTGACAGGTTTTTGATATCTCTTGAAAGAACCGAGATAATTGAGCTCAAAGTTGATGGTTTGAGTGACGTTCTATTAGAGGAAATAAAGCATTTTTGAAGGAAAATGATCATTTCGGATGTCCAAAATCAATAAAAAAATTCGTTAAATAAGAATGAAAATTTCAGTGTTTACTAAGCATAACAAAATCTTCATTTTTGTAATTGATATATTTTTTGTACAAATTCACCTACGCGAGATAAGCGGCTCTAAAGTGTCGCGACTCTGAAATCTGTGCGTTTTTCTGATATGCGGCATATCTTATTCGGATGGATTTGTACAAAAAAGTTGTCAACTACAAAATCAAACCTCTGTTTTTATTTAGTAATTCTGTTAACTATTGATTTTATTGAGGAAGATCTACTACATTTTTAAACATCTAAACTTGGTCACTGTTGACTGAAAACACCGTATTTCCTTTAAAAGACGCCCACCCAAACCCTGATAAAATATGTATTTGTGATTTTATGATACACATTTTATTAGTTAACAAATATTTGATATCTTGCAAAGGAGCTGGAGGATAATTGAGCTCAAAGTGCACGTACATGGTGGGCTTCTATCAAAGCATCCACGGTAAAGTATTCAAATTTGTAAAGAAATTCTGAGGTTCTAAAACTCTCCATTTTTTTGGTTTTCATGTCTTCTTCCCCATTTGACACCTATTTGAGTATTTAATGAAAGACCTCTCATCAATCTTCCCTCGCTATGTTTTCCCTATCCTCCGGTATATTTGAACCAACAATTATCTCCTCCTTCCTTCCCTTTTTCCCTTCTGTTCCCAAAACAGTCGCCGCTTCTTCTTCTTCTTTTTTTGACCAAGAAACATCTGGTCCCTCCCTTTCTTTCCTTTTTTAGGCTTCATGCATTTCTGATCTATTCTCCCCTCATTTTTTTCACTGGTCACCATGAAGAATCGGTTTTCTTGTGATTTAGTATTTATGTACAAATAGTATGTCATCTCTATTTTTCTCTAAAGGCAGACAGAATGGGTCACGGCCTGTCTATTTTCAGATGGCCTAGATGTTTTGACAAATAGACAAAAAGTACAAGTGGTTAAATAAAATCAAGTTTAAACCGTCAAACCTATAATAGAGTAGCACCCTGATCGTCATCTTTGACCAGATTTATCTCGGTTCCTAGGAAAGATATCAAAAATCTGTCAACTGAAAAATATTGATGATATTGATGATATGGTAAACAATTTATCAGTTAATGTCTTTTCAATATCTTTCATAGGAATCGAGAAAAAGGAGTTCAAAGTTGACTGGATGCAACTCTACAGGGTGGCGCACAATTACCCTGACTGGCCAAAACGGGTGAGACATAAGTTTCTGGGAATCACGAAAATTCGTAAAAATATAATTTTATGCTTGATTCAAATCTACCGAAATCTTCAAAACGATTCCTCTAGCCTAGGTATTATTATGATTGTTCAACGATGTTATGGTAGTTTTCAGTAAAGACCATCATGACATCATTTGTTTGCACTTTTTTGACCAAAAAGTTTAATTGTCCTCCCTTTAAAACTGATATTAGTACAAAATCTTGAAAATTTTCATTCTTGCTCTTCCTATTCACACATAAGGGTCTTTTCCTTTGAGCACTTAAAAATTCATCTCGCCCCCTTTCTCCTGTCCATTTTCCAAACTAACACATATTTCATTGTCCTCCTCCATCTCTTTGCCCCTTTTTTGCTTTTTTTTCTTGGTCCTAACATTGAATTGTTCTTTCTTTTTTTCCCATGATCCCCATGGGGATGCTCTTCAAGAGATACCCCCAACGCACCGGCCATTTTCTGACAAATCGGTTGAGAAGGAGGAGGCGCCCAAGATGGAAAAAGGGAAAAGATTTGGAAAATGGACATGGGAAGACAAAGGAGAGTTTCAACGCCTTCCAAAGTTTTTTTTCGGTTGTTTTTGGGTCATAAATTTATGATATCGAAAAATGGACAGGAAGGAAATGGGAAGTGATGAAAATGAATTCATGAGATCGGATTTTTCGGCATCTCAATTTATGAAAATAATTATTAATCTTCCTGAGAAGAACAATTTTTATCAAGAAGTTAGGGCCAGGCACCTGACGATCTAGCCACTAAATAAGCCGTACTAGATAAGTCAGCCTATACGTGCACTTTGAGCTCAATTATCTCGGTTGTTTCAAAAGATATCAAAATTTTGTCAATGAATGAAGTTTCTGGTTTAGAAGTATAAAAAAATCTGAATTCGCACTTTTTTCCGTTCACTTAATTTCCGTTCCCCTCATTTTTTTTTGTTTTGCTGGAAATGGCATTCACCGATTCTCCATCTCTAAACTTTTGTGCATTTCTCCTTTCTCTCAGACGCTTTTGTGTATTTTTTTCAGTTTTTAAACCTAGTTTGTTTTTTTTTATTTTAGTTATTTTCTCCTTCTAATGCATATTCAAAAAAATCCAAAATTTTTATTTCAATGTTTACCACTTACCTCGATTCCTCCACTCCCTCTTCCGATACTTTAGGTTTATGACCATCATTATTTCTGCCAATTATCCTAAATGTGCTTTTTTACCTTCATAGACAACGGATAATGTACTTTTACTCAACAAATAGATTTTACTAATTGTAAGAAAATTTGGGTCAGTCGCCTGGCGACAGAGCAGCGGTATATATGTACCGTATGAACGATACTAGACCGGCTTGCACTTTGAGCTCGATTATCTCAATTTCTATGAAAGGTATCAAAAAGCTGCAAACTGCTAAAGTATTGCTGATATCATGATATAAATTTTATCAGTTGACAGAGTTTTGCTAGCTCTTATAGGAACCGAGATAACGACCTCAAAGTGCACGTACAGGATGGGCTTCTATTGTAGCATATTCTCACTAAGAAAAATCCCACTGAGACGGATTCTCATTAAAAATTGTCTCACTAATTGTAAGAAAGACCATCACTGGGACAGTTCCTCATTAGATTAATTAAAATGGGTTCTCACAAAGAAAAATCCTTACTAAGAAATATTCTAACTAAGAAAAATCCTTACTAAGAACATTTTTAACAACTACGCGGCTCTCCTTTTCTCTACCCTCATTTCCCAAGTTTTACCTTTCCGGCGTTTGCATAAGTCGGCACCCTCCCTTTCTAAAAGGACATTATTTATTTGCACACGTTCACTTTTTTCAGATGTCCTTCTATTTCTCTTCCTCTTTTTTTTCGCTTCCCATAATAATTCAAATCGATCTCTTCTCCCCTTTTCCGAATACCGTCTTTCCTAATTGACCGTGACAAATTTTCGGCCAGCATCATCTGCCCTTTTTCGTTTTGATACAGAAATTGAGAATATAGGGAAACAGGGAGAGACTGTGGTCACTTTACCGGACTAGCCGATATTCCATTACGTCTAACAAACAGATGAAAGCGAAAAGTGGGGGGATCCGTTAATGCATAATATGTTGTGGATATATGAGGAACGAAGAAGGAATAGCGGTTTTAATTACAGGTTAGTGGTGTCGGGGGATGCCAAGAGTGGTTATGGAAGCTGGAAAATAGGAAGAAGGTAATCTGGCATTTCTTATGAACTTTCAGAGTTTGTGTGTAGGTTAGCAAAGTGTTCGGGACTCGGACATTCCCTAAATACCAAAACTTGAGCCTTCGGACTTTTCAAAATTCAAGTGATCAAGTTTTTCTTGTATCCTGGAATGCTGACACTTACCGTACAATACAGAGAGGCGCATAAGTACCTGAACAAAAGTTTCTACTAGCTCAAAATTTGAGCAAAGCGTTGTACTGAGCTCAAATTTGGTTTTCGAAAATTCAAATAATTCATCAGTAAACTGACCAAATTTCAATTTATTTGATCAACTTTGAGCTGAGTTATCGCTTGTCAAAGTTGCTTAATCTCTTGAAAATCACAAGAGACACTACGCCGTTCATCTTTGGACAATCATAACAATACCTAGACTCAAAGGATCGCTTTGAAAATTACAGTAGCATCGAATAAAATGTGAAATTATGTTTCTACCAATTTTCGGGCTTTCAATATTCTTATGTCTAAAGATATACCGATTTTTATCAGTTCGAGAGATTGTGCGCCGCCCTGTAGAGATGCAGTCAACTTTGAGCTCAGTTTTCTTGGTTCCTGTAAAAGGTATCAAAATATTGTCAACTAACAAAATGTTTTTTATAATAGTAGAACTATTTTTTTAGTTGACTACTTCTTGATATCTTTCACATTAACCGAGATAAATTTGGTCAAAGTTGACAGCCAAGACCACCACAAAAATTGAAAAAATATATAATTCCAAACTTCCAAAATCCTGAAATATGTAAATGTGAACTTTTAAAACCCTAAAATCTGTAATTCTGAACTTCTGGAATCCTAAAATCTGCTGAACTTCTAAAATCCTAATTTCTGTGATTCTGAACTTTTAAAGGGGGACTCCGGTCAATTTTTTTATTGCATCAAAATGTGTTAAAATTTATCTATTTTCAGAATATTATTGCGAAAAAATTCGAAAAAAATCCGAAATCCCCAAAAAACGCCGTTGAAAAGGAAAAAAATTCAAAAAAATGTGCCGCCGAGGGACGAGGATTTTCAGTGAGAAACCTAGGCCACGCGAGCGGCGCGACTTTCTTACCGGACAATTTTTCCGGATTTTTCTCGCTTTTATCTCCAACAGGTAAAAAACGTTAAAAAACACTGTCGGCCACTTGAAAATAATGCTCTCAGTCGCCGTAGCCTAGGTTTCTCACTGCGCGGGAATTCAAATCCTCGTCCCTCGGCGGCACCTTTTTTGAATTTTTTTCATTTTCAACGGCGTTTTTCGAGGATTTCGGATTTCTTTTGAATTTTTTTGCAATAATATTATGAAAATAAATAACTTTTAACACATTTTAATGCAATAAAAATTTTTGGTCGGAGTCCTCCTTTAAAATCTTGAAATCTGTAGTTCTGATCTTCTGAAATCCTAAAATCTGCAATTCTCGCGTTCTAGGGCCCAAACTTCAAATGAGTTCTGAGCTCGGAAATTTTTCACTTTCCACTCTCGATGATCCCACAAGCTTCTTTCTTCCCGAAAAAAACCCTAGAGAAGCATTTTCACCTGACTGCTCTTGTTCCTCCACTCATCTTCCCCCACGTTCATCCTAATTCGAAGTGACACTGTTCTTTCAACATTTCCCCCCGTCCCGCACTTCTCCCCGTTTGATGCTAACCACACTACTCATTCCATTATACTCTTATATGAATACCCTTTCCATTCTCCCATTTTTTGTCTTCTCCATTTCATTCCGTCTCATCATCTTTAAATCTTCTTCTTCTTCCTAATCTGCCGGATTACTGTAACTGGTTTTGAAAAGGGATCAGAAGAAGATGATGAAGGTTTGTAGATATGTAAATCTTCGTTTATTTTAAGACGATTTTAGTTTTTTATCCCTCCCAGCCTCTGTAATTTTTTGAACATTCTCCTTCTTCTTGTTTTCATTCAATGTTGCCAAATGTTACGTCGTTTCCCGCTAAGCCCTCGCTTCCTAATGACTAGTGCATATGTTCTCTTTAGTCGGCTTAGACTGGTCCCCCTCTCTATCACCTCACTTAAGTGCTCGAGCATCTGGAGGCACAGGAAGAAAAAACACACTAATCTTTCTTCTTTTCCCGGCTGTTCCCATTTCCGATCGAATTTCTGGTCTCATATTAATAAATTCTGTGAGAAATGGAACGGCCAGATGTATCTTTAGGATTCCGGGAGCCTCTGGAATTGCTAGGTAAAACGAAAAAAAAAAGAAAAAAAAGTCAAGCCACCTAGGGGACTCGAACCCCTGACCTTAAGATTAAAAGTCTCACGCTCTACCAACTGAGCTAAGGAGGCCACAGCGCACACAACTCCAAATGACGTATAGGAAGTTTCCCTTTTTTTTAGATAAGAGGGGTTGCCTTTTGCGGAAGAAAAGGGAAAAAGAGAACGTTGCCTCTTTTCAATTGTGTTTGTTTCCGATTTTGATTGGTTTCGTTCATTGCTCCTGAAAAAAAAAGCTAGCAGAAGGAAAAAAATGCAGTCGTGTGATGAGAAAAAGTGACGAAGAAAGAAGTCGGATCATTACTGATCCTCTCATGTCGTAAACAAGAGAAATAAAAAAGGAGGTGCTGCTCTGTGTTCATTTTTATTTTTGAAAAGAGGATTCAAGATTATTTATATAGTGTAAATACTTGTTTATAAACAAGTAGTTAACTGACACTTTGGTTTATTGCTGATCCTTAAAACCGTGCTACGGTATGTGTCCGGTCGTCAAAAGTGGCACCCAACTTCAAACCAATTTTTCTCGGTTCCTGGGAGAGATATCAAAAAATAGTCAACTAACAAAATATTTTTGATTTTATGAAAAACGTTTTATTAGTTGACTATTTTTCTATTACTTTCACAGGAACCGAGATAATTGAGCTCAAAGTTAGTGCACTTGTAGAGTGGGCTTGTTGAATCCTCAAGTTTGAGCCGATTTTTCTCGGCTCCTATAAAAGGTATTACAAATCTGTTAACTTTTAAAATATTGGTCATGTTCTGATAAACACTTTGTTAGTTGATTTATTTTTCATATCTTCTACAGAAATCGAGATAAATTGGCTCAAAGTTTACGCCCCTTGAGGGCCCTGGTGCAGCTCTATTGAGGGTTCTACTTTAAATGAAAGTCTTCTGATTTAGCTTAACTGGTAGTAACTTGATATTAATAAGACATAATTTTCTTCGGAGGTTCCTCTTTTTCTATTTTTGTTACATAACGCCTTGAAAACAAGGTCAAAATGGGCGTGGCCTCCTCCTTCCTCAACCTCAGCTTCTTCTTCTTCTTCTCCTTGCTCCATTCTTCTTCCTCCTCCTACTTCACATAACATGCTCACATTAGAAGGAATAGGTCCCCGGGACCCTTATAAGTATCCAATATATGTTTGTGTGTCCCCTTTCTATTTTTTATATGCATATTTAGTGGAGACTCTGAGGACATGAAAAAAAGCTCTTACTCATATCTAACTTTTTTTCTTTTTTCTTCTTTTTCTCTCCCATCCTGACATTCTTCTCACCTGCTTTTTTTGCGGAGAATAAAAAACTACACATTCTCCTTTTTTTCTCCCGAAATCTCTACGCTAGAATATCCATAAATCTCTATCTCTCCGTTTTTGACTGGTCAAACTCAACAATTCTAAACGTCGGCATGTTTTTGTTGTTCAATCTGATCTGCAATTCAATTTATGGAGTTTTTGGCTGGAAAATCTGGAAAATAAATTTTGAGAAGGTTTTGAGAAGGAAATCTGAAACATTTTGGTTGATGCATTATATTGATGCATTATATTGGATTTTTTGCTCGATTCCTTGAAGCCCACCCTGTACGTTCATTTTGAGCTCAATTATCTTGCTACCTTCAAAAATATTTAAAAGTTATAAACTGATAAATTGTTTATCATAATATTACCAATGTTTTATCAGTTGACAGTTTATTGATATCTTGTACAGGAACCGAGATAATTGAGCTGAAAGTAAGGATATAGGGTGGGCTTGTACGTACCGGGCCGTTAACTTCAAGTCAATTTATCTCGGCTAATGTAAAAGGTACTTAAAAGTATTCAACTAACAAAATGTTTATCATAATATCACCAATGTTTTATCTTTTGACAAATTGTTGATATCTCTCATAGGAGCCGAGATTATTGAGCTCAAAGTTTTGGTTTCAAGTTTTGTTCGATTTTCTTTGCTCCTCTTTATCTTCTTCAACAAATCTAAATGCATTCTTCGTTCCGTTCTCCGTTTTCTATAATTTCTTTTCAATTTCAGATTCCCAATTACCCTCAATGCTCAACAGAAAATGCTCCACGGATTCCTAGTTTTCCTCTTATTCCTCCTCCAAATCCACTCAGTGTGGTCATCAGAAGGTAAGAAGAAAAAATAAATCAAATCTTTTGTTTTTTTTCTCCCCTTTCAACTAAAAGGGACCCAAAATTGAATTACTCTTCTCCTTCATTTTTTGGAGCCAAAAAGCCAGGTGCCTTTTTAAGATCCCATGGGGAATTTATTAGCTTGGTTTTCCATTCTGACACGAGTATTAAAAAAATCTTGTGCTCCTTTCCCTTCTTAAGGCATCTTCTTCTTCATCAGATGCTCAGAATAATTCATGAGGAACAAGGGGAAGGAGTAAAAGAAGCTAACTACGACTCCTCCTAATAGTTTGTTGATTCGTAAGCCATCTCCGGACGGCCGTGGCGGGTTGAATGTGTTTTCTAGAATTCTAAGATCTATACAGATTCTTCTTAAAGATTCAGAAGACAAAAAGAAGCGGGGGTCACTTCAAAGTTTCAGGAAGAACTCGATTTGTGTCTGCGTCTCTTTGTCTACCACGCTATTTCTCTGAGGAGCATTATTCTATTGTTGAAAGACCGGGGGCTACACTCTTTTGAGTAGAAGTAGAGGGCTTACAAAAAAACGGGTTTTATAAAAGGAATTGGATAAAAGTGCAGGGATTTTTACAGATGGGGTGCCAATCGAAACGATACATGCTCCGATGTTCGAAGGTTTGAATTTTGAAAAAAAATCTCACTAGCTAAATCTACCCTCTATCAGTGTTCACGATCTCTACCCTTTAGACACCTCGATTTCCGATTTTTTGCACGCTTAGTGTATCATTCGTTTCTGCCTGAAAATGGCCGAAAATTTCAGATGTATTCGATGTCAGGATACACGAAGGAGCTGACAAGGGAAGTCGGTTGACCATGAGTCAGGAACTTCAAAAGTCCACAGAGCCACTGGGTCATTGTTTTGGACAGTTGGAGACGGATGTGGATTGGATTGAGTGGAAATCCAGTCGAAGTGCCTTTTATACATCAGCACAGATGCCATTGTCGGCTACCAAGAATTCGAATAATCTGGTTGGAACGCTACACTTGTAAGTGTTTTTTTTTTGTTTTGGGATTCAGGCTTTCATTCGGCTGGGAGATTCAGCCAACCAATCGACAGCCGACTGAGCCAACCAACCGAATTAAAAAATTTCCAGACTCTGCGCTGGCAACCAAATGCACACATTCCCATTCCGTGTCCATATCACACATCGGAACCATCACCCACCGACATTCTCTAGAAACTCCTATAAGTTTCACGTCCCAACAACTCTACCTATAGGATCTGTAATTGGAACTTTGGAAGTCAAAGATCAAGATCCAGTGATCTACAATTCCGAGAGAAAATTGGCATTCACAAAAGACGAGCCTCTCGTGGAGATTCTACAGGATGGAACGTTCAAATTGAAATCTGATCTAAGCGTTTTAACTCCGTACACCCCTCAAAGAATGCAAATCCTGGCAATCGACTACGGAAGCCCTCAACTATTCACGATTGCTAATATACATTGATACCAGTGACAGTATCCATGGTTCGCGAGCTGCACGTCAATGTTGCAACCGAAGAGTATCAAATTTTCGAATGGGAACATCCTCAATACGGAACAGTTGATAAGTATAGATTAAGTATTAGAAGGGATGATCAGGTGGTGTATGAGGAGGAATTGGAAGCGGCGAAGACGTTGGCATTGACCAAGATCACTTTTTCAAACCACATGAACGTCAGTTTCCAAGTCACAGCAATTGACGAGAATGGGGAGACGTCGAGTGAGTGGACACAGATTGGACCAATTGATAGAGGTGAGCTTTTTTTGGAATCTGAAATGCCGAAATGGGTAATTTTTAGACGTCGTCTGTAAGGGAGAATGCTCTCGTGGTGGGACACCGCTGTGCTATGTTGGAGCTTTCAATCGAGTCGAACAATTTGTGGATTCAAGAGGAGCACACTGTCTATGCTATCCAGGATTCATGGGTGTTTCATGTGAGACTATAGGTGAGTTTTTTTTTTGAAATAAGGAGTTGCTAGGTTTAGGCTTAAAATTTGCTGTCATTAAACGTTTCATTAGACTTGAAATGTTCCAGTCATTAGGGTTGGGCTTAAAATTTGGGGTCACTAGGTTTTGCCTCAAATTCGTTGTTATTAGGCTCATTCTTAAAATTTGCTGTCATCAGGTTTAGGCTCAAAATTTCCTATTTCCTTTTCTAATATTATTTTTAGGCTTAAAACTTTGCTGACATTATCCTTAGGCTTCAAATTTGCTGTGACTAGATTTATGTTTCAAATTTTCTGCCAACAGGCTTTTTAGGCTTAACTTTGAAGACTTTTTTGGGCCGGTAGAGCGCAATTTTATAAGAATGCCTTCGTTTTGAGTAAACATCCTCTAAACCCATAAATTTCATATCTGGACCCTTTTAAGCCTTAACATAATGGCTCGATAGGCCTCATTTCCATTTCCCGCCAAATGATGAATTGCGCAACATTTCATATACGTTTGAAGGTGTACATCTGTTCATCCGGCTCTCTGCCATGCCTTCGGAAAGTGTCAAACAGATGCCGCCCGCCCGAAAATATACGCTCGCTTGATTTAGCCAATCATAATTCTCTCCCCCTCCGGAAATCGTGTTCCCCCTCTCTCTTCTTAGAGGTCGTTCCCGCACACTTCCGCGATTAAATACTTAATTATTATTTATGTGTATATATCTTACACGTAGCTCATATTTTATAGACCGATGTGCATCGGAGAGGACCGTCGACGTTTGGGGAGGGGTCGATTGGACGGAAGTCAATACCAATATCTCGTTATTAGTGCCATGTAAGTTTTGTTGGGATTGGAATGGATGTGACAAAGTTTCTAGCGGAATCATAACCCAATTTTTTTACAACATCCCTCCCCATACTAATCAGCCTACACTTTTCAATAATACACTTTCTATCTGCAGGCCCTTACAACCCGGTGACCGAAAACAAATTCCTCGAACGACGCTGCTCATGGGACTCGGAAGCGGGACGGGCGATCTGGGAACGACCACAAGATCGGAACTCGTGCCAGACGCAGACATCAGTCCTTGCACATCTCGGGTTGATAGGGACTTACTCGGCGAAGGCTGCAACGATATCGGCGATTAATACAGTGACAAGATTTGTTCGTGATTTGCTATCCTATCCATCGTTCTCCCGAGAACTCTCAAAGCATGCTCACTTTGATCAGAAGATTGCTGAAATGACTGCTCTTATTTTGGACGCTGTGGTGCAGGCTGACTTGGATCGGATACCTGGAAACACTACGATGCTTAGAGCGGATGCCTGGAGAATCATCGAGGCATTTGCCCTAACCCTCCCCACTCCGTACTCGTTGTCTTCCCCGGATAACGGGATTCATATGAAATCAATCGAATGGGTTAAGCATGCAGAACCAAATGATAATCTAATCGGAAAGAAATGTCGACTCCAACTACCGTCCACTGATGAAAGCCATGTCATTCGAGTGGTTTGTGCTTCAAATGCCACATTGTTCGAGTTGCTGGAACCCAAGAGTCCAGTGATGTCTATCAAACCAGACAGTGAAGATCCATTCGGACCAACAAGGATGGCAATTTACATGAGATACCCGGATACTCATGATAACTATACTTGTGTGTATTATGATGAAGAAGAGAAAGCGTGGTCAACGAAAGGAATCAGAAGGATAGAGCATAACTATCATGGATACGTCAAGTGTGAGACCAATCACTTTGGAGTTTTTGCATTGTTACCAGACCGCCTATTCTACAATTCTGAATCATTCTGGAAAGATCTCGCATCTCATATGCCTACAGTAACCTCATTCGTCACTTTGATATGTATAGTGCTCTTACTTTTCATGGCAGCCGTGCAAAAGTGAGTTTGGAATTTGAATTAAAACTTTGTAAATTAAAAAAAACATACTTTCAGAAACCAACCAATCGACTGTGCATTCCTATTTTACCTCTTTTTCGTCTTCATGATTCACCTGTCCCATCTACTTCTATTTTTGGCACCACAAGTCGGAGAACCATTCCAGTTCTCGACTCTGCTGCACTTTGTTCTACAGTTTTGTGTCATTGCTTCATCAGGATTACTGTGTTTAGGTGAGTCACATCTTTGGCTTCTATTTCGGTCGGTTGAAAATCGGCGACCTCCAACAGAATACTGACCGGTCGGCCGAGTCGGTGGGTGGTTGGCGGTCGACGATTTTCGACCGACCGAAAGGGAAGTCTTACTTGGAACATATTTCGAATCAGCCGGATTATCATTTCAGTTCTCTACTCAATTCATACCACTATCATTTGCTACGACATCAAGGAGGAAGAACCTCAAGGATGCTTCTCAAAACCCTATCATGTATTTGGAATGGGAATTTGTAAGTTTCTTAAAGTTTTCGGCTTTTCAAATTTTAATTTTCCAGTGGTCCCATCCCTATTCACCTTTACCACCTACTACTTCCTGGATGGACGGGATCTGGATATCGCGAGACTTTTTGAGAGGACTGATTGGCTCTTCATCTCGAATTATCTACTACCAACTGCAGTTTTGTTCTCCATTTCAATAGTTTATGCAGTCTGGAATGTTTATATTGCTAGTGGGACTAGGTAGGGGACTAGGATTTTAAAATAAGAAATTTAAAATTTTAGAACCAATCGCCGATGCTCTTCTGACCGATTACTAGCCCTGGGACCTGCTATCAGTGCATCTGTAACCTCTCTTTTTATGGTGTGTCTGATTATCTGAAATATCCCTAAAATTCGTTTCAGGTCTTCTTCTTCTGCTCCGCGCTTCTCCTATTCTTCTTCCGTGAGCACTCCCCAATGGCCATCTTCTTCTTCTGCATGTTCCAATTCTTCCACGTGGTTACCGCATTCTTCTTTGCTTCGTACTTGTTCAGGTAATACCATAAAACATGTAATAAAAGGACCCCCTAGCTTTTGAACTCGAACCGATTTATCTTAGTTTTTGTGGAAGAAATCAAATATGGTCTCAAAGTAGGGTTAAGCCAAAAATTCGCTGTTAATTATGGGCTCAAATTTAAACATTTGGGTGGTCTTATATTAAAGTGTTAACGATAGGCAGGTTACGGTAGAAAAAAGTTCTACGGTAAACAAGATAGAACTAAATTTCGGATTCTTATCATTTTTTATCAGCTACAAAATTAATTGGTTTGTTTTTATGATTCTTCTCCCCACTTATTTTGATTTGAATTGAAACTTTCAACCCATACTATGAATTTAAACTTCTTGTTTTGTTTGTTTACGCACAAAAGAACAAATGTGTACACGCCGACAACACTGCACTCCCGATGCCTCCTTAGCTCAGTTGGTAGAGCGTGAGACTTTTAATCTTAAGGTCAGGGGTTCGAGTCCCCTAGGTGGCTTGACTGTTTTTGTTTTTTTTTTAATCTGATAAAAAATTTTTCCAGGCTCCGCTTCCTACTACAACAAGGATTCGACAGTAATGACTCCACTGATTCATTGGAACGAAAAAGGGACATCTCCAGAGCTCTTCTGGAGCACGTTGACACTAAAAGTGACATTGCATCCGATCGAGTCGTCATAGATGGTGGATTCCAGGATGAAGGATTCGCTCCGCCTTCTCATTATCAATACATTCCACCTGGATCTATGACCCATATTGATAATAATAACCGATACATGCCTATGCATCAGAACATTTTCGAACGTGCTCCGATGGTTAGCATTGTTTGATGTTTTTTCGAATTACAAATTCTCTAAATCTCAAGTTCTTTCATTATGTCTCATCATGTTTCAACCTCATTTCCCCTCAACGCGTACCGGTATAATTGTATTATTTTTCGTCTCGGTTTTCTGAAAAAGAGACCCTAATAAAGGTTCATTAGTTTAAAAATTCTGTGCTTAAAAAGAGAGAGTTCAGACTGTCAGACACTCTCCTTTCTCTGCGCTCTCTCTTGAGAATGCCTGAATTTTGAGAGATCATTCTGATAGAAACATTGAAGTTGTGATCCCACAAAGAAAACTACCGTAACCTAAAAAATATTTATTTTCTAAATATATTTTGTCGTTTAACATAGGTTACGCTAGCCTTTGCTGTGGTACCTTCGGCCTATGTGACCGCGGCCGAAGGTCTAGAAGTACTCCAGTTCCAGTCCCTACACTCTATTTTCAGACTTCTCTATTTCCCTCCAAAAACGTGTATTTGCTATAAACAGCTTGCAAACACTTGTACACCAAAAACGTACAAACAAAGTATATATCTCTCTAGTATACACACACTCATTTGCTGTCATAATCATCAACAATCAGTCAGTGATAACACCGTAGAACTGATTTTGCTGAACTTTTGCTTCTAATGTGCCCGGATACACATTTTCCACTTTTGAGAGGGGAAGAAACACGTGAAGAAAGTGTGGGAGGATTACTGTAGGAGGAAGAACAAGAAAGTTTTTTTTTTAGTTTATGAAAACAGGCTGGAATTTTTTTGGTGATAGTGTCAAATTAATATAAAAGTGGTAATGATTTATGTGGTGGCGAAATGTTTTTTTTCAGAAAAAAAAAGGAGAAAATGAGAAAGAGAATATTGATGACATACCCATGTTATACTAGCCTGTAATCTATAATAGTAGGGCAAGCCCAAAAAATTTTAAAAAGGATTTTGAACGTTTTAACCTCACTTCCAACTTTGAGCCTACATATCTCGGTTCTTATAAGAGATAACAAAAATCTGTTAACAGATAAAATATTTAGGAAACTATGATTATTAACTTATCAGTTGACAAAAATTTGATGTCTCTTATAGGAACCGAGATAATTGAGCTCACAGCGCAACTATAGGGTGCTCTGATAGCCCTATGCACTTTGAGCTCAATTATCTCGGTTCTCATGAAAGATATTAAAAACTTGTCGACTGACTAATTATTTATCATAATATCACCAATATTCAACCTGTTGACAAATTTTTGATATCTCTTATAGGAAACGAGATAATTGAGCTCAAAGGGCACGTATAGTGTGAGCTTCTATTAGAGCTGACCCCTTTTTATACGCTGAAAAAGGACCAATTCTAGAACCAGTAATTGTGTCAAAACAAATAACTTTTCTTCAAATTGAAATCAAAAAAGTGTGAATGATTGATTGGTTCTGGTAGAAATTGTAGTAACTTGTTGCTGGCGAAAAAATATAAAATTAAAAGTGTCTTTGCAGGAATTTCTATTTACTGATACAACTAAAATAGTCGTTTGATTTGTTTTCATTTCAATTTCTAGGGTGGGTGCTAAATGTTATGCAAGGTCAGATCGAAATCTTCGATTTTCTGATTTGTGGCGAACACCCAAACCAATCACAAACTCCGGTGGTACTGTAGATAGTAGATCTTTGAGGTTTACATTATTTGTCATGGTTCTGCAGAATATTTTATAGTAGTGTTTACATACTTGGTTTTCAAATTTTTTGTACGCCAATGTTCCATGAAGAACCAATGGACAATCAGCATACAGTATTCTAGAGAATGTAGAGAATTTCAGACGAAAAATCTTTAAATCTGAAAATTCCAGATCAGCAAATGGTTCTGGCTTTATGACAATTCGAATAGAAATCCATTTCTCTTGAGAGAGTATAGTCTGATCGGCTATCTCTATGTTTACCGCATTTGAATAACTACAATAAGTACCATAACTTTTCGCTCGGTTTCTATTTTATCGCGCCATACATAAATCATACAACCAACGAAAATCCCAACGGAAATGTTATTGAACAGATAATACTGGTTTATGTATCTAGTATGATCCCTACCGTAATCCTATCAAAAGATCTTTGGATTGGGTTCTGCAAAAAAAATAACGTCAGAGTAACGCGTTCGATCTATGTTTTTCTTTCCCTACTGTTCATATTATTAAGAATCCTGGAGATTTGAAACTTCACGAAACATCTCATATTTCTGAAGGTTCAACTTATATAGGCTATGAGATTAACATTAATTGCTGCTCCTATTTGAAGTCGACGAATTTCAAAATCAGATTTTAGCAATAAAAGGAAATCAGGTTGAACCTTTATGGTCTTGACAATAGGAAGTGATACGAGAAATTGGTGTTTTCATTTTCCGTTTTTCGAGAAGTTTCTGAAAAAATGTTTTTCCGTGTGCGGTTTGCTGAGTTTATGATTTTTTTCCGTTTCCGCTGTCTACTTCGGAAGCACGACTTTCTGTGAAATACCGTGAAATCTCTAAGAGAGCTGCACCCTTACCGTTAACTTTGAGCCAAGGCTGAGTTGAGAATGTCAAAATGCCGGATTTTCCGAGCGTATTTTTGGAAGGTTTGTTCCTGCGAATGATATCAGAAAATAGTTTATGAATAAAACGTTCATCACAAAATCAAAAACATTTTGTTCATTAAAGCTTTTATATCATTCACAGGAACCGAAAAAATAGACTCAAAATTGACTGTCAGGATGCAACTCTACTGGAGATTTTCCTGTAAATTCGTATGTCCTAGGTATCCGTAGTTGCGAAGTCTACAAGATTGGATTACGGTAATGGTTCATGTGTTCCATACAAAACAGTAACGTAGATGCTCGAAAAGAGTGTCTGTTATGATTTCAAGTTCATGCGGGGTTTCAAACTATAGGTTTGAGAATTTCCGAATTTTGGTTTTATTGATACATGCATACATGTAGTACCTGTCAATAAGATTTACAAAAACGTATTTTTCAGGATTTTGGACATTTTGATTGTTTTCAGAAATTCGGAGCTCGGTGGCCGACGATCCGACCACGTTGAAAGTAGTGGAGGTTGTAAAACAGACCTATATCAGAATCTTTGCATTCACAGATTTTTTGAAATTCCCGAGATTTTCAGCAGTTTGCCGATTTCGGAAAGAAACCTGTAAGGGTCCGAAAGTGTCTTTCAGAAATCGACAGTTATCTGAAAAACTAGGAATGTTTAAAAAATTCTGTGAAAACAAAGTTTTCAAAGTTATTGGGAACTCGACCATCGTGCTCCAGACTCCTGAAAATGGTGAAAATGGTGAAAATGAATTGAAAAACACGTTTTTGCATACTTGCGACGGGCCGGGCCGGGCCGGGCCGGGCCTTCAAAAAGTTTGTCAAGGCCCGGAAGGCCCGGGAGGCCCGGAAGGCCCGGACAGTTGGCGCCAGCTTCGATTTTTAGGCAAAAAAGCTTGTTTTTTGTTTTTATGATCTAATTTTGAGCTAATTGTAAATATTGAGTTTGTAAATGGTTAAACAAAATTTTGAAAAATAATTTTTTCTGTCATTTTTCCGGAGGTGGGATCGGACGGAAAATTGCATTTTTGAAGCAAAATAACTGTTTTTTTTTCTCAAAAACTTTTTTTTTTTGTTAAAAAATTCTCGAAAATTTATCAAAAAAAATTTTTTTTTGATAAATTGACCAAAAAATACCCATCCGGGCCTTCCGGGCCGGGCTTCCCGGGCCTCCCGGTCCGGGCCGGGCCTTCAACGATTTTCGCAAGTATGCGTTTTTGTGTATCTTATGGAACGGTACGATTTGCAAGGATAAAAAACCCTACGCGCCCCCTAACACTCTTTAGAATGTCAAGACACAGCAACATGCCATACCAATCAAAGTTTATGTACTGAGTTTTCAAAAAACTATAATTTCCAGTGTCTCAATTCAGCCCCCTCTGTTTTGTACACCTTCCTCGTTCTCATCAAACACCCACTGCACCCATCCAAATAAATTGTTTTGCAAGTTGCACCCAACACAAATACTACTACCAATATGTGATGTTTCATCCTGATCATCACCTCAATCTCTCTAATCACCTTATCCCTACCCAACCGATCACTTCAGCTGGGTCCACTATCAATCTCTGAGCTTCTTCTTCTGTTTTTTCTCAACGAAAATTCTTTTTTTCGTATATACAAACAAGTCAGTTGGTTCACTTTTTGTTTGCGCCCCTTGTCTCTGCTAGTTGTTTTGATTGATTTGATCAACAATTTCCATTCGAAGATCATCAATACCGTATACTACCAATACTATCACTTTTCGTACAGTGCACCAATGATCAGTGATCGGCAAAAAAGACATAGAAGACGAATGGAAAACATGGTGATCGGTGAATGAACGAGGGACATGATAAGGAGAGAAAGTTTGTTGTTTTTAAGGAAAACTGGGTGCAATTCGACCCCCAGGAGGACTATGAAAATCTTCGATAACAAAAAACTAAAAATAACAAAAAAACTAAAAGACAGTTGTCAATGATGTGCTCCATTGACAGGGGCAGGTTTGAGACATTTTGAAAGAAGAGATTTGAAAAGGTTGGGAAGATGATAGGATCAAAAGTGCAAGATTTTTGAAGAGCAGAGTCTGAGCAAAAGTGATTTATTGAGATTCGGAAGAGACCGGAAATCCAGGTGCAGTCCTGGTGCCAGCTGGTGCACTTTGAAGTGTAGGAATTCTAAGTTTTTTCGAATTCAAGGTCCACATGGGAAATTGTGTCAATTTCGAGTCCTGAAAGGTGGAATCCAAGGAATCTGAAGGCTTTACGACACTAAGAATTTGGCGAAACTGAGGTTCTAAAAGATATGTTTCATGAGCAAAGTAAAGATACATTTTTCAGAATTTCCGATTTCAATCTAAAAATCAAGAATACAGTAATAAAAAACTTTTAGAAGGTCTTCTGAAAACATATCTTCTGAAAACATATTGACAAGAAAATTTACCAGAGCCAAAAACCTGAAAAAATGAAATCATC